AATCAACACGAACAGTTATCACACATTTTATTCAGTGAAATAAGTTGAAGAATTCTAATTCCTAAGTTGATTTATGAAATTGTTTTCTGTTTTTACAAATTCATATCGATTGATTGATTGATTGATTGATTGACTGAATGAATGAATGATTTTATTGAACTTTGACCTGATTGTTCTTGGTGTAATGTGGCCAGTATAAACGAATATTAAAAGATTCATAAAAATCAGCCATATCTTTGTTGTCATCATGGTCGTTGTTGCTATTTGTTTGGAAAACAAATTAACATCAAAAAAAAAAATCGGATCATTGATTGATTGATTGATCGATCAATTGATTTGTCTGGATTTCGTTTTTTCCTTCTTTCTTTCTTTTTTGCTGTTAGCGTTCATTCGCTTTTGTTTTTGTTTTTATTTTTTTTTCATTGATGTTTATATGAAGTTTCAATTTTTTTCGTTTTCAATCAGGAATTATCATGTTTACAATTGAATGGAATCGAATTGAATGACATGTCTCTGTCCAAATCTGGGGAGCGAGAGAGAGAAATTGTTTTTTTTTCTTTGTCGATGATGACGATGATGACATTACATGTCACAAATTCAAATTCATAATTCGTATCAGTGGAATTTCCATTCAAACGAATCCAATGAATTTGAAATCAGATGAGAGTGAGAGAGAGAAATGAATAATTTCTATGACGGACATCTGTCATGGACATTATTATCATCATAATATTTATTATGTTTGTCTGTAATGATTGAAACATTAGTTATTTGATGATGATAACACCAAACAGACAAATACAAAACATAAAAATGTCGTCAACATAATCATCAAACACGAAGAATGTTCGACGACCATAGTACATTCACACTTTGTACAAAAAAAAAACATTTTTTTGATAAAAAAAAAGAAAAGAAATCCATTTAAAGAATTCAATCAACAACATTGTTCCAAAAAAATCATTGATTGATTTCCTGAATCCATCATTAAAACCATTATCGAATTTCTTCTACTTTCTAATGATTTATTGATCCAAAGATGGATTGATGATGATGATGACCTATTGGTTAAACCGTTGGATGTTCTCATGCACACACACACACACACACACACAATCAATTAATGATCATGTATACATCATAAGATTCATTTTATCATCTCTCTCTCTCTCTCTAAGCTTTTTTTCACTGTTCTTCCTTATATTCGAGTGCAGTTTCTTTTTTCCATTGCTTCACAATGATGATTATCATCATTCTTACCAAAAAAAAAAATTTATTTCATTTCATTTCTGTGATCAAAGTTTGTATCTTTTTTTTACAGAAAAAAAAAGAAATGTTTGTAACAAATTTTTTTTTACTTAAATAGAAATGTTCAGGTCATTCAGGTCATTTTCCTAGTGATTTGTTTGCTTCAAATGTATATCATCATCATCATCAATGGTATTATATCCAGAAGATGAAAACAACCATTTACAGTAGAAAAAAACCCCTTCAAGCTATTTGGATTTTTTTTTTGCTTCTGCTTACTTCTTCTTAATCATCATAAAAAACATTTATTTAATGTTATTTCTGTAAAATGAATTTCTATTTTCAGCAAATTTTTTGTACTCTATATTCCAAAACAGAGAGCAATAGAGAATAATTGCGCGTTCAAAACAAAAACAAAAAAATCTGTTGAAACATCTATTTATTAGTGCAGTTTAAAAGTTGATTATAAGTTTGTGAAACAACAATTGTTAATCCCTCTCTCTCTCTCTCTATCTCTTTTGTTTCGATCCGAATCAATCAATCGATATGATATAATCCGAATTACATTAAAAACCAAAAAAAAAACGACGAAGAAGATAATGATGATCAGGTGATTCAGTTGTTGTTGTTGTTGTTGTTTTTATCATTATTTTTCATCAAATTAATATCACATGATCAAAACATTTAATGATGATGATTATTATTATACCTAAAGCATAGTATTTATTTACAAACTAAATAAACTAAATAACCAACCGTTACTCTATATGGCTACTATTTCGACTGTATTTTCAATCATCATTATCATTTTTGTTTTTGCTTTTCTGGATTTAATTCAATTCGAATAGATCAGATAGTTGTTGTTGTAGCAGCAAAATTTGTACCGCGCGATTAATCATTAATCCGACAAAATGGAACAAATTATTGTGTGTATGTTGGTGGATGAATTTCAAAAAAAGAAAAAAGAAAAAAATCTCTATCCAAAGTGAAACCATTCATCCATTCAAGTGATGATCATCAACATGATGATGATGATGATCATGTTATATCATCAATCCTTTACCTTCATTATATATAATCATTCATAGAGCTTCTCATTCTTCTTCTTCGTATGTTCATCAATCGTTAATCTTTCATCATCATCATCATCGTTGTCTCTTTTTTTTACCGATATATATCGATGATTCGAAACTCAACGCAACGAAACAAAAAAATCGGTGTCATAAATGTCATTAATTTAAAGATTAAATAGCCCGAAAAAAAAGAGTAGCAAAAAAGAAGAAAAAATTGTGAAAAGTAAGTAAGATTGAAGAGAAATTTTTGGTAAAAATATCTCATCCATATAGGAACATCATAATCATCATAGAATTATTATATGGTTGGTTTGTCCTCAATTCTTCTTCTTCTTCGTCTTTTTTTCTTCAACAAAAATCGATCATCATTAATCAATTTAGTAAGAAAGAAAATGTTTTTTTTCTTCTTTTCAAAACTTTTAAGCAAGAATGATGATGATGACATTTTAGCTAAATGTTATTGAAATATGTTTCAAAAATTCAATTCAATTCAATTCGATCGATTGATCCCCGTGCACACATTGAACAAACAAACAAACAAACTTACCGTTGAAGAAATGAAATGAAGAAGAAGAAAAAAACCGTACATTGTATTTATTTTACCACCAGAAAGAAAGAACGAACGAAAAATGCAATTTCATATTTATCTAAATACTTAGTTTATATGTGAATGATGGTTGTTGGCCAAAAATACTTTTCAATAAAATAATGCTGATCAATAATGATCATCACCATCATCATTTAACGGATTTGTCATCATCATCATCATCATCATTATTGAATTGTTTTTCTCTGTTTGTCCCAATAATTATGGCGACCTATATATAAGAAATCAACACCTGTTGCCTTGGATTCATCTTTCTTTCTTTTTTTCAACAGAAAAAATTACAAATTTTTTAATAAAAAATATTTATTTATTTATAAAAAAAATGGATGAATAATAAAATCAAGAATTTGACTTGTTTTGATTATAATAATAATTAGAAAAAAAAATAAGAACAATGTTTGTTTTTCTTTCGTGAACATTATCAGATTCTGTACAGAGAATTAGAAGAAGAAAAAGAAAAAACTTTATTCAATGATTTAAAAAAAAGTGATGTAATTTATGTAGGTTTTCAGGAACATTTTTCTTCATTTAATTTATTTAAATAATTTTTGGAAATATTTTCGGAAATGTTTTTTGTTTTTGAAAAGCCATACATTCAGGTGTGTGTGTGTGTTGTGGATATAAATATCTGAATATAAAATATAACATATGATAATAATCATTCAATTTTTACAAAAAAATAAAAATAAAATAAATGAATGAATGAATGATTTTGTAATGAAAATTATAATTAATATTTTCCTTTATTTATATTTATAATTAGCAATAATAATAATTAATTAATAAAAAAAAGTAATAATTTTCTCTCGATCATCATCAATGGAAAAAAAACAAAAACGAGAGAAATAATCAATGGAAACAGAGAAAGAAGAAAAAAAACGAAACACATATTGGACATATCTTGATGCTTTTTCTTCGTGTTCATATATATTTACCGCCAAATTCAGAAGAAGAAAAAAAAAGTACAAACACATCTATAGTTAGGGTATTTAAAAAATATAAAAATTGTATATTCGGATGTGATATGGTTGCAGTAGTAACTTTATATATAATTTTTTCAAATACAAAAAAAAATGATGAATGAATGAATGAAATGGATTTTTAAATGAAAAATTGTTGTGTGTGTGTGTGGATCGTATAAAAATGAGAAAAAAAAATTAATGATGATGATGATGACTATGTTTAAACGCTACACACAATGTTCCAAAAACTTTCAACATTGTTTCGTATAAATATTACATTATTATGTGTGTGTGTGTGTGTTGAACGGTGGGAAACTAATAAATCAATGTTTTCTAAACAAATGTGTGTGTGTGTGTGTGTTATGCAAAAATAATGATTAAAAGATGATGATGATAATTGACAAGAATTTTTTTAATAGCCACATCATAGAGGTATTTTGGAGTCAGCAAAAAAAAAAAATCGTAAGAAACAAAATCAAAACACAAAAAAAAATTGGATATTTCTTGCAGGGAAACTTTTCCGGGAATCGAAATTCTTTTTTTCTTTTTCTTTCTGTTCTTCCGTTTTTCGTCATTTTTTTCGGGAAAATTTTCTTATCCATGTTTTTGAAAGACATTTTCTGTTCGGTTTGTTCGGTTATATGGTTGATAATTCTTTCGATTTTTTTTTGTTCGTTGTTGTTGAAAAAAATTGAAAAAACAACAGAAAAAAAACAGAAAAATAAATATAAAAAAATGAAATTGGAATGACATAAATTACACAAAAAAAGTGGTTTTGTTTTTTCTCGTTGTTAAGTTGGTGGTGATTATGTGGAAAGAAAGTTTCCAAAAAAATAATGATTCACAGAATGGAATAAACAAAACAAACAAATCAAAAGAATTCAAAAGAAATTAACCAAAACCTACACATGCATATATAAATTGAACTTTCTATAAAAAATTCCATCATCATCATCATCAATTATTATGGCCAAATATGGTCAAAATAATAATAATACACATCAAATAAGAAAGAAAAAAAGAATATTAGAGAAATTTTCCAGGAAAAACAAACAAACAAAAAAGTTGTCAACAAAAACAAAACGAAAACGAAAAAAAAAATTATTCGATCATGACATGCGCATTTATCTCATATGATGATATCAATGATAATTTTACCAATCTTTTTCTTCGAAACAAAAAACAATAAATTAAAGCAAAAAAAAAGAAACATTTTTTTTTCTTTTTGAAACTAACTTTATGGATCAATCAATGTACGAACACACACATAAAAAGGGTAGAAAATGGAAACAAATGGGGACAACAACAACAAAAAAAAGAATGTGTAGATTAAATAGAAAAAAAAATTGTTTGTTTGTGTGTTTTCAGGTGGATGTTTTATCTGTTTATATATAAAATATTTGAGACAGAAAAGAAAAGAATGAACAAAAAATTTATAAACGGATATCATTATCATTTGGAAAAACAAAAACAAAAATAAAAGTGAAATCCGTAGAATGATACAGGAATAATTATTTATGTTTGATGTGTGTAAATAGTGTGTGTTTTTTTGAAATGGAATTAAAGAAACCAATCATCATTTAGAATATATGCAGAATTGAAACAAAATAATAATTATTAAAAGAGATTCATTTTGGTTAGATTTATATTTGGGTCGAATGTTTTTTTTTTCAAACACTATGATGTGATGATGATGATGCAGGACTACTATGATTTTCCAAATTTGTTGTTGTTGTTGTTGTTGAATCTTTTTCATCATTGATCATTTTGGATGATGGAGGTGGTGGTGATGATGAATCACCATTAGATTTATTATTATTCATTTGTTCATCATTGTTTTTTTGATTTGAATTATGTTGTTGTTGTTCATTATCATTATAATCATTATTATCATCAACACCATTATCATCATCATTATCATTATTTGTTAATGAAGATGATTCTAATTGATTATTCATTATCATTGATTCATTATCATTATTTGCTGACATTGTATCACCATCAGGTAGATCAGCATCAGTTGTAACTGATCCATCCATTTCTTCTAAATCATCATTACCATAATCATCCATATCATCATTAACACCTAATGCATCATTTGTATTATCATTATCCATTTCGGATTCACTTTTATTTGATTTTTCACTTGTTGCATCACTTGAACCTTTTGATGATGAATGATGATGACCTGATGATTTACGATTATTATTATTATTATTAAAATTTGCAATCGATACATATGATTGTAATGCTGCTGCTGCTTCAGCTGAACCAGGTGTTCCTGGTGATGTTCCTCCTGTTCCTGATCCACCCATCGGCATATTAGCCATTGCTGTACGCATTTTTGCACTAGCTAATGCAGCTAATTGTCTATTGATTTCGGCCAATGCTGGTGTATTACGCATCTGATGTATATCACGATAATGTTTCATTAATGATTTACGCCATGTATATTCTTTATTGCAAATATTACAAATATAAATTTGTTCTTCACGATTTGAATGAAAATAATCCATATGTTCTTTTAATGTTTGTTTATTACCATAATATTTATTACAAATGTCACATTTCCATTTACTTCCTACCCAACTACCACCGGCTGCTGCAGCACTAATGCCACCGCCGGATGCTGAAGCAGATGATGTTGATGATGATGGTGATGATGCTTGTGGATGATGATGATGTTGATTTGGTGGTGTTGTTTTAATCGATGGTGAAAATGTTGAAAATAATTGTTGTTGTTGTTGAGATTTTTCACTAGATGGTACACTTGATGAACGAACACTATTATTATTATGATGTTTTTTCGATGATGAAGATGGTACAATGTCCACTGTTGTAGCCGGTGATGTTGGTGGATTTGAATTATTATTATGATGATGATGATGCATCGATGGTGATGATGGTTTTATTGATACATCAATACTATTGTTAAGTGCAACTGAAACATTATTATTATTATTATTATTGACATTATTACCGGACGTTCTTGAATACGGTAATTTCATTCGTTTATTACTATTATTATTATTATGATGTTCACCACTTGTTGTTGAACTACCTGTTGAATATGGTGGTTTAAATGTACGTCTTCTTTTTTGTTGTGATGATGATGTTGATTGTGATGTTGTTGTTGATTGTTGTTGTTGATGTGGTGGTTGTAATGATGATGATAAAGGTGATTGATCATTATAATCAGAAAATGATGGTATTATTGTTGGATCAGCTTCAACTTCAATCATACATGGAATTTGTGGTGCAAATGATGATGGTACAATCGATCCAAATGGTAATGATTGTTGTTGTTGTTTTGAATCAATACTTGTTGTTGACATATTATCACCAATATTACTATTGCAATCATTTGAACTATCATCTTTTATAATTAAACGTTTATCATTATTATCATCATTTTCATCAATATCATCATCATCATCATCATCATCTTCAGAATTTATATTTAAATATTGATTATATAATGGTGGTAATACTTGATCTAATGCAAATGATGCTAATGCAGCCTGTGCTTGTGTTGAATGTATATTGGTTGGATATTTTTGTTTACGTCTACTACCACCACCAATTCCAACAATACCGGATGATGATGAATCAAAACGATTATTAATTGATGATGATGGTGGTGGTGGAACAATATTATTATTAAATAATGCAAATGCAGCAGCAGCTGCTGCTGCTGCTTGACCATTATTATATATACTTTTCGGTGTACTACTTTGATGAGCTGGTATTTGATTAGTTGTTGGTGGTGTTGTTGTTGCTGTTGATGTTGTTGTTGTCGATCCTAATATCGTTGATTCGTGATTACGTAATGATTGCGATTGATCTCGTTGTAGTTGTTGTTGATGATGTAAATGTTGTTGTAATTGTTTATTATTATTAATTGATGGTACGACTAAATTATTACGATATTGACTTAATAATAAATGATTGCCCATTCCATTTAAAAATTTATTTAAATGATGATTATGATGATTATGATTACTACCACCATTCGATAATGATGATTGATTATGTTGATGATGATGATTATTATTACGATTTTCATTATGATGATGATTCGAATGATGATGTTGATTCGGTGTGGTCATTGCTTTCAATGATGCCAATGATGAATTCATCATCATTGTTGTTGATGGTGGTGGTGGTGATGGGGGTGGTGAATGACCATTCAATAGATTAGCGGCTGCAGCAGCGGCAGCTGCCGCTGCTATTGCAGAATTTGTTTTCATTGGAAATCCATTATTTTTTCCGGTTATTGATGATGATGATGGTGGTGGTGGTAATCCAGAAATCACTTCAATACCACTATCACTAATAGAATCATCATTTGTTGATTTTGTTGTTGAAGAGGTTGTTGTTGTTGTTGTCGTACCATTATTATTGAATACAATATTAACATTGGATAAACCTTTTATATTGAGCAAACGTGCTGAACGTAAAAATGATTCAATTGAATCAACTTTTACATCAACATGACCATCATAAATAAATCTTAATATAGCTTCCATATCGGTCATTTTTATTTCGGTTGGTAATATCATAACTGTATTACAATTATTACAGCCACCACCACCTATACTATTACTATTATTACTACCATTACCGGAAGAACCACCTAATGATATAATATCATTATTATTATTATAAAATGAACTTAATGCATCACGTATATAAAGTGATGCGGCTGCCATCACAACACGATGACATTTAAACATTTTCCCCGGACAACATATAACCAAATCAGTAAATAAACCATTAGCCAATAATGAACTTAATGATTCAAATGATTCAAGATCATTTCCTTTACGAAAACTAACAGTTTTTTCACCATTATTATTATTTTGATCATTGTTTGATTTTGATGTTGATTGATTTAATGGTAAATGTCTTGATTTATTAGTTGTTGGCATTGATGATTGACCAATACCACCACCACCATTACATAATGAATTTTTATTGAATAATCCAGTTGTTGTTGTTGTTGTTGAACAGGAAATATGCTGCTCAAATGCAGCCGAAAATTTGGATTCCAATGAAGTATCCATTTGTGGTGCTACTGTTGTTGTTAAACTTAATGACGATGTATGCATTTGGAATCGTTTTTTTGTTTGTTTGTTTGTTTATTTTTGGAGTGTTTCGTTTTCGTTATTATTATTATTTTGGAAGATTCGTTTTTGTTTTGGAATAAAAGATTGGACCCACACAATCTGCTGATTATATCACTGTTGATCGAAAAATCTATTGCAAAAAATGAGAAAAAAAAGAGAAAAGAAAATTAATTGAAATAAATTAGGAAAAATGAAGGGAAATTCAATTCATTCCAGGAAAAAGAATATTATTATTTATAGAATTCAATTCTATTTGGAATCAATTATATTAGCCATCAATCAATCAATCAAACAATCAACGAAAGTGACAAATTCAATTAAAAGAATTATGCCATGCGGCACACTTTTCCAATTTATTCATTTCGAAACAAAATTCTCATCAGAATTTCACCAATTAACCCCCCCCAAAAAACCCTCAACAATCATCGAAAATGGTCCAAATGAGCGCCACCTATATCTGTGACCATGATCACACAGTATTCCAGTAATGTATTCATCCTCATTCATTCTTATATGAACCATATATAATATTTGAAATAAGGAGGACAACGCATCATTTTTAACAATTTTTTTCATCATTTATGAATCTTTTCATCATCATCATCATTCGCCAAAAAAAAAGAGAACAAACAAAACTCGAGAGAGAGAGACAAAGATACATACAAAATGAAAAAAAAGAATCGATCGATTTCAAATGAAGAAAAAGAAAAAGAAAAAGAATGAGGAAAAAAATATGGATGATTTTTTCACTTGAATTCAATGACGACATCAATCGTTTATTATCATCATCATTGTGTGTGAATGTGACAAAAAAAAATGTATAAAAAAAAAATTTTTTTACCAAAATAACAATGATGCTTATGACAATTTGAAAATTGGAAGAAGAAATGGAAGAAAATAAAGAGTGAACAAAATGCAACTTGTTGTTGGAAAATCATTATGAAAAATTTCACTATGTGTGAGAAACTTGAGATATATTAGTGTGTGCAAGTGTGTTTGCTTTGGAATTTTCTCTTTTTCTCATTCATTGATGCTAATTGATGATGATGATTCGAATGAAGAATTTAGATTTGGACAAATTTGAATTCGGTATATTTACCAATCGGAAAAGCAACAAAAAAAAAATACTTAACCAAATAATCATCCTCATCGGATTATTGCAAAGTGTCTCAATAAACCAAAACCAAAACAAAACAAAAAAAAAATATTTTATCAATTTCATTTCAGTTTGGTTTTGTTGCCGTAGAAATTATTATTGAAATTATCATGAATCACACACATATACAAGCACAGGTAAAACATGCACACACACAAGAGATTCCTATGAAACCGAATCAATCAGAAAAAAACAACTAAAAAACAAAAAAAGAATATCACTAACCATACCTGTTGAATAATAATTTGAAATTTTACCTGTGTTGAATTCACCTGATCATAATGATAAGGTTGAACAAAAATGAACAAAAATAAATATAATGATGCTATGTAAACGATAAACGTTTTTCTTTTCCTCAATTTTTTATGATTCTTATTGAAATATTGATTTTTCACCAATAAAACACCGCAAAGAATGATGATGATAATAAATGAATGGAAAAAAAATTTTTCACCAAATTGTGAATAAAAAAACACAAAGAATTTAACAATGAAGGTAATGTTTGAGAGAAAAAAAAGATATCAAATGCAAACAAGCAAGTAAAAGATGACGAAAATTCATCCATTCATTTTCCCTTACTTTTTTCACGAAAAAAGATACCGATGATGTAATTGAGTGCGAGAAAGAATGTTTTTCCAGAAATCAAAAAATTCAACAGCAAAAAATGTTCAGAACCAATGAAAAAACGCACACAAAACACACACATAGAATGAATTAAAGAAAGATATTTTCTTTTTCGAAATTTGAGTCATCATTTTGTGGCGAATTCAATCAAACTAAAACGACACAAAACTCAATCAAATCAATAATCGAACAACATTTTTCTGGTGTTAAAAACAAAACAACGAAGAAGAAGAAGAACTTTGAAGCAGAACAAAAAAAAAAGCAACTAAGAATTTTTTTCATTTCGGCCATATCAATCAATGGTTATCAACAACCAAAAAAAATCATTATCAGTGATTTTTGTTGTTGGTGTGAAATTCAAAATGGTTGAAATTTTTCTCCTACTTGCGTGGGCGTGTGTGTGTGTGATATGGATTTTCACATTCAATTTTGAAAATTTTTTTGATAATAATAAAAAAAACGATCGATTCGTTATCAATGGTTAATGCTTACTGCTGCTGCTGCTGATAATAATGGCTGATGATGATTATAATCATCAAAATGATTATGGTTCAAGAACTTTGCCAAATGATAATTCCATCATCATCATAAAAAAATTATTAAAAGTGAAGAAAAGAAAAGAAAAGAAAAATATGCCTATGGATAAAAGCACATCTTACAAGAAAATTATCGTTATTAAAAAAAAAATTGATAATCGTTCTTGTCATTCTTCTTTCACTATGTGCTGTGCTGGTTAGTGGTTGTCATCGAATTTAGATGATGATAATAATTTCATTTTCATATTTTTACTGTTTGTACTCTTAATAATAATCAAAATAACCATATCTCTATGACAGATCTAAAAGAAGAAAGAAAAGAAAAGAAAAACTTTTTCTCCTTGAAGCAAGAATCCTATCGCCATAATTAAACTTTGGAATAAAAAGTTTTTTTTTAATTAAAAATTTTGTACCGTTAAGCTACAAATGTTGGTTTTTGCTTGTAAAAGAAAAAATTCCTTAATCCTTGATTGTAAAATTTGTAATTTTCGTTTGTCAACTTTCAGGATTTTTGGGAATTTTTTTTCTCAAATCTAGGGCAATTTGAAACAAAACAACGAAAATCGATTTGAAATTGTTGCTGTCGTAATTTTTGATTTTGAAAAACATCAATGACGACGACGACGACAGCATAATTTTTCAAAAGTTCAAACCGAATCACAACAAAACGCAACGAAAGAAAAAAAAACAACCGTAATACATTATGTGAAAAGGACAAAAACAGATCGAAAAAGAGAAAAATTGTGAAATTCTTTCGAAAACCAAATTCGATTGGAAATTTGAAAATTTTTCATTTACAAAACATTTCAAACACCCACACACACAGTAAATATAAGGACAAAATCAAATTGAATTTGAAATGGAAATGTACAAAAACAGCAAAAAAACAAAAACAAAAAACACGCACCAATGGAATATTCAACAAGTTTTCTTTATTCAAATTTCAAAATGGAAGATTTTTTTTTGATGATGATTATATTGAAAGAAAATGAACGGAATGAATGGAATGTATGAATATTTCGTTTGTTGTTGGTTGGATCGGTTACACAAATACCATACACATCATTTTATTTTTTTACACATCAATCAAGCACGTTGACAGAAAAGAAAAACACAGAACACAAAAAACAAGAATGTGTGTGTAATGAGCAAATGCAATTGATTAATCAATTGATTGATTGATTGAAAAAAGGCACACTAGTTGATGATGAAATTCCAAAGAAATTATTCAAACGGAATTCGGACAACAAATGATGATATGCTGGGTTGATTGAATGAATGTGGAAGAAAATGTTGAAAATGATGAACACACATCGCAAGGCACTAATTTCAATAAAGTTTTTTAGTTCAATTTTTTTTCGAAAATTCTTTGATTCACATTGGAATGTTTCTGGGAGTTTTTTATGGAAAGAAAAGAAGAAAAAATGTTATCATCGATCGATGATGTTTCGGATGTTTCATTGTATCATTTGTTGTTGTTCAGTAAGTTTTTTTCTGGAGAAAAAAAGTTGCTGAGAAAATTTTTCTGGAATAATTTTTGTTTAGAAAATGGAATTTTTCCTTTGCAAAGATCATTATGGAATGTGTGAAGAAGAAAAAAAAACATTGGAAGACAAAATGAGTGTGTTTGCGTGTGCGAGATGGAGAGTGTGTTGGTTGAAAATTCGAAAAAGAATTTTGCTTTCGAAAAACAAGAAACAAAAAAAAAAAAGAATTTCACATACAGAGCACAGAAACGAAACACAGAAACAAAATTGAAATATCGCAGGTCAGTTCTTTTGGTTATTCAACGCCTGTTTGGTTGTTTGTTTGTTGTTGTTTTGACACTGTCGAATTGAATGATGATTTTTTTTTTTTAAATGAAAATTGATCAAATTGAAAATATTATTTTAAAAAAACATTTTCATCATCATCACTTCTGCACAGAACTTTCAAATGTAATGATCATCACCATTGAATGAACTGATGAAAATCAAAAAAATTTTTTTAGTTGAAGAATGGTGGTTTGTTGGTTTTCGATTTGGCTATATGGCCGTTCTGTGATGTTGATGATGATGATGATATGTTTATAACGCGCGCGAATGAACCATCCGCCAAACTATACTGCAGTAACGGAATGATATTTGTTGCATTTACACATATACACACACACGATGTTTGAATGATGATGATTATTATTTGAAATGGTGGTATAGTTTTGTGTTATGTTTTGGTTTTGATGTGATTTGAAAACTGAGCTTTTTTTTCCTCTTCTTCTTCTTCTGCTTCTGATGATGATGATGATGTGATCATACAATGTTCTTCTTTGTAAATTGAGGGAGGGAGAGTTTCTGTGTGTGTAATGTTAGTCCAGAAGCGAATAATGCGAGAGAGAGAAAAGATTCGTGCAGAACTATCGCAACGAAAACAAAACAAACAAAAAAAATAGCGCGCCAGATATTTTGTTCCAAGTGCTAGCGGTATTAAATTATGATAAAACTGAATTACATATTGCGCATGCGTACTAATTTCAAAAATTAAAGAGATTTTTTTTCGTTTTGTTGTTGATTTTTGAATGAAGAGAACAAACAACACCGAGGAGAGAGAGAAACGAGATAAAAATTTGAGGAAGAAGGGGAAAAAAAGAGAGAATGGAGAACGAGAACAAATGCTGAGGAGGAGGATGAAAAAGAATTCGTTTTACAGTAAGATTCGAAAGAAAAAATATCGGATTTTTTCTGTCTGATTTTCTGGTTATCCACCAGAAAAAAATCGATCGATAAAACTTGTTGTTGTTGATGATGATGGCATTTCGGATAAATTTTCTGTTTCTGTTTGCTACAACGGTGCTTTTGTTGGCTAAATGCTATCTCTTTCTTTCTCTCTCTCGCTTGGTGTTGGCGACAAGAATAGTCAGAAAATGTTCTTTCAGTTTCGAAAAGTAGGAAAAAAAAAGAGTAGTGAGAGGTAGGAGCGAGCGAATGGAATGAAAAGAAAGCAAGATAACGACAACAGAACAGAAAAAAAATCCATAACACCAGTCAGTACCAGCAACCAGTGTGTGTGTGTAACCAACCAAACCAAAAATATCAAAAAAAAAAACACTTTACAGAAAAGAGAAAGAAAGAATGTAGAATGTGAGAATTGCAATAACAAAAAAAAAAAAAAAAAAAGAGGAATAGAGAGAATGTATGGCTCAAAAGCTCAAAAGTCAACAAGTTGTTGTTGTTGGCAACATTCTCTTGTGTTTTCCAACCAAAAAAAGAAACAACAGGAAAGATCTATGCTATGCTGTTTTTCTGGGCGAATCGACGATTCTATTTTTGAGCAAAAAAAACTTTTGGAAAATCAGATACAGTTTCGGAATATTTTTTTTTTTGTTTCGAAAAAAACTTGTTTTTTTTTCTATTTCTTTTGAATTTTGTTTGCCATAACATTCTCTCTCACTTGCTTACCAAATAGGCAATTATTATCAACGAAATGTAGATTCACAGAATTGCCAAATGACGATATTATTATATTTTGCAAACGTCCATTACATTATTTTTTACAAATTCAAGGCGGTGGTTCTGCACTGCACTGCTGTGTTTGTTTGTTTGTGTTGAATGTAAACGTAATTCTCAAACAGAAAAAAAAACCGGGAGAAATGAACGACCGATTATATCAATAGCAGCGAGCAGCAGATATTCATTCACGAATCTAGCAGAAAAAAAAAGAAAAATTCATTTTTATCAGGAAAAAAAAGTTTTTTTTTTTTTGAGGGGACGAAAAATTTTCAAATGAATTCCTTTTTTTTCTTCTTCTTTGTCTTTCGATCATTATCAACGTTTTTCCTGTTTCATCCACCACCACTATTTTCTTTGACGTTAACGTTCGTTCAAACCTACAGAACTTAAAAGTAGTGGTATATGCGAAAGGTGAAAGAATGTGAACAAAAAAAAAAACTGGACATGACAAGTCAGCCATCACGCACGTTATCATCATCATCATCATCAACATTCAAGAATTTCATTCGAATTGAACATGCGCATTTTATTAGGAATTTCGAATTCGAATGTTTTTTTTTGTTGTTCGATGATGACGACGGCCATGACGATTGATGATTTTAGAGTCATGTGTTTAGCCTGAATTTATTTGATTAAAGAATTTTTTTATTTTTGAAAAAATTTTTAATTTGTTTACTTGAAAACCCCGTTCATTTCTCTGGAAAAAAATGGTGAGTATTATTATGAAAATGGAAAAAAAAGGGGAAAAAATGTTAAATATAGAAGAAGAGAACCACCACCACCACCACCGCCATCATCATCAATCGAGCGAACAGAACCATTTTCGTCGTCGTCGTCGTCGACAAAAAAGCCAAAAAAGAATGAAAAGAATGAATTGAACGAAAGTGCAACAAGTGGGAATTTAATTCGTCATTCAAAAAGAAGAAAAAAAAAATTACCAATTCAACAACAACCATCAACCACTCTTCATATTCGGTCGCCTATTGTATGTTGCATTCTTCAACAAAAACATGAAACATAAAATTCATCATAATCATTCTCCATTTTCTTGTTGTTGATGTTGTTCTTCATTCTCAACAGCAACAACAACAAGAAGAACAAGAATCGCAACAACAAACCAATGAAGATATAGCAAATGTAAAGAGAGAGAGAGAGAAAAGTAAAGAGAAAAAATCAAACAACGAATGTGACTTTTTTTTTGTTGTGTTTGTTAATGTAATATGAATGTATGTATGAATGGCGTTTATCATTTTGTTTTTTTTCTCTATTTTTTTTCTGCAGGGCGTCATACCATTTTTGGTTTATTGATAGTAAATTTTTGATGGTTGGTTGTTGTTGAACAATATCAAATATCATCAACAACAACAACAACGACGACGACTACAATAGAAATTCTGTATGCTGTGTATGTATTTGATTCGATATTGACAACAACAAAAGATATTAAATATAGCAACAAGTGGTTCTGTTTTTTTGGGAATACGGTTGAAGTAATGTTAAATAATCCTGATATAGAATGTGTGCTTGACTCTACATACATAGTACATTAAAGGGGAGCTATCATAGAGAATTAACCAAGGGAGAACATTGCTGGCCATTTTTGAAAATAGAGGAAAAAAACCAAATTTTTCTTCTTCTGGAAATAGAATAGAATAGAATAGTAGAGAAACCAAGAAAAGAAAAGGGAGGGAGAACAACAACAACAACAACAACAAGTAATGTTGTGACCTCATTCAACATTCAATTCTACAGAAGATGATGATGATGATGATGATGAAAAATGAGAACATAGTGAAGAAAGAAAACAAAAAAACAAAAAAATATTGAGAATGGCAGATGGTTATTATCAACTCCTATATTTTATTTTGGCCAAAAACTTTTTCGTTTTTTGACTGTTTAAGTTTGGTCAAAATTCGATTCGTCGAAAATGATGGTCAGCAAACAGAACGGTGAACAGAATTCAAACAACATATGACCAACCAACCGATCATCATCATTATTACATTGGCCCGTATGGAAGGAGAGAGAATAGAAAAGCCATATAATGATAATGATTATTCATATGGATGAGATAATGATAATAACCAAATAGCAACAAAAAACGAATTGATAATGATGAAAATGAAGAAATGGCAGCTGAATTAGACTTCATTTTTTGCTAATCTTCAGTCTATGATGATGATTCAAAGAATAATGATGTTTTTTTTTGAACAAATTTTTTGTGCAGGAAACGGGTTTAGAATTGGAGATTGTATTTTTACGTTACAAACATTTGTTTTGTAATTCAAACGAAAAAAAAATTGATTTTTTCGTTTTTTTTTCATTTTGGTAGAAAAATTCTTTATCAATTCATAGTATTCATGTTTGGTTGATTTTTCACCACCACCATCGTGTGATGAATGACGACAATTTTAACCATATTTTTTACGTCTTCGTCAATGGTCATTATTGGGTAAAATGTGAAAAGTATCGAAGTTCTGTGTATACTGAATAACATACATTGTTGAACGATAATAACCAAAAAAAAAACTAATGACAATGAATGTTGTTTGCTGTTGAATTTGTTGTTATCGTCGTCGTCGTCGTTCAATCATCAAAGTCGTCGCCTTTTGAAAATTTATTCATTTTTTTTAGGTTATTAGCTATAGTTCGGTCGTTTATCTCGTTAGTTTGGTTATTGGGGAATATATCAACCAGGCTGA